GTTTTTTTTTTATATTTTAGAAGTGAATCGCAAATACCAGAATGAAAAGCTTGATTTACTTTACTTTGAAGTGTCATTAATTAAAATGATAATAAGAACAGTGCTGAAATTGATCGGATTGAGCTAATTGAATAAAGCTAGATATAAAATCATCCATGGGATGCTGTAATCATATCGGAATGTTAATGGATTTTTTGCAGATCCTCGCATTACTAATAAGTCACGGAGCGGATTGTAACATAACTCAGCATCCAGTTTGGGGCGATGATGGTAGCCGAATACATGCAATTGCTGCTGCAGCACTAAGCAATCACCCCAAGTGTGTGGAACTACTTATACCTCATGTTGATAAAGAAACGTTGAAGGAAACAGAAGTTAGTTTAAATTGAAATTTATTTTTTGAAAGTAAATCTTCCATAGCAGCTGAAAGAACAGAAAAGTTATTGCCTTGGACCACGACGTTTTTAATTTAAGGTGTTCTTTTTTTCCATTTGGTTCTGAAGAGAAAATGACAAGACAACATTTTAGTATTATATTCAGTGCTGCTCAAGTTTAATGCAATCGTCCGAAGCCAACATGAAACTTCGTAGAACAAATCAACTGACCTTGCTTATTATAGCGAAGATACATATGTAACTGTTGACGTCCTTTTGCACAATTTAATTATTTTAGTGGTAAGGAAATTATTTCTAGGTTGATCCAGTATCAGCAGCTGCGTATAGTGGATCATATGAATCTATTTGTTTATTACTCGATGCTGGTTTTTCGACAGAGGTTTAAATTTATCATCATTTTATGCAACTATATTCAGTTTGCTTATAGAACACAATTTTTCGTTGAAAGGTTTCTGGCATTGTAAAAATCACAGAGTGAGTATGGTTGATAGCCATGGTAACATAGCATCATAAAGCATACAATTTTTAAAGAAAGTATTAGATTAAAAAAAATGACAAAAATAGTGCATAAGATCATCGTTTCAGGTCCCAATGTGTTCGTGTGAACCAGTTGGCATGATTATTCCATATTTGCGGCCATTATTTTCACGTCGATATCATACGCCATTACGTGAAGCCGTTCGGAAAGGATATACTTCAGTTGTTGAAAAACTTCTTAAAGCTGGCGCTAAGGTAACTTTTTTTATTAATTGTTTGGAAAATCAAACTGTTTTTAACTTATACATGCATCTTTTTTGTTTTAGCAATCGAAATACTATTGACATTTTGTTATTTTTCCTAAATCTCCACCTCTTAATTTTTTCGCTATATTTTGTTCTAAAATTTTTGATGAATACATGGTTGCCGCGACTTGTGTTTCTCTGTATTTTTTAGATGACGTATGTAAAGAACTGTTTTTCGCCATTCTTGTTTGCATTTCGAAATCGCATCGATCCTGTTATCCTGTACAAATTTTTAGAAAATGACGTTGACATCAATGCTATGAGGTAATGTATTTATTTTAAATAGAAAGCTATCAGGTTATCGTCTTTCTCAATATTGAAGTTGAGGTTATTAAGGAATTGTGAAAAATTGGGTTCTTGCAAATACAAATTATGATTTTACACAGAATAACGAGACCAGAAATCTTAGAAATGTTTTAAAAAAAAGAAATGGCTGAAAATTTTCATGTGAACTCCCGCATTTCTAAAATTTCTTCTCTGCATCAATTTTATGTTTTCCAGGTCACAATAAACATGACGTGATTATTCAAATGGGAACAATTCTCTTGATTCGAAAAATTTTTTCTACTGAATTTTGTAAATTTTATGTTCTTTTAGTATTGAGCGAACATGTGACGTGCCGGATGCATTGGTTAGTGCTTTGGGTACCTGTAATCGCCGGCAGTTGTTTTTACTTTTGAACTGTGGTTTGGATCCGGCTTTGAAGGTAAATCAATGATCATTAATCATTGCTATGCTTTATAAATCTAGCTTTCCGGTGGCTTTTATATTAGTTATTATTCATTTGGTTGAATATTTTCATTGGCTGGGTCGATAGAACTTGCGAAAACAATAATTATGAACAAAAAACTAAGCTATTATTTTTAGGTGATTTTCAACTTAGTTGATGGTTAAATTCAGTTACATGTTAAATGTGGAATGCTTATGACTGCCTCAGTGACATTTTTCTATTGTAGAACTGGTGCAGATGCAGAAATGGCTATTCATTGATGTATGATGTTATGCAAACAACATATGTTACGGATGTTGATAGATTGATGAAACTTTTGGTGCTCTTTTCTCCTGGTATTCCAAATTGCTGTAACGAAGTAATAGAAGTTGTCGGTGCTCAGCCAAAGGTAATGCATAAGTTGTTTTCTAACTAAATAACCGCTTAATAAGCAGTGGAGGTTAACGTCGTGGTTTGGAAAGATTCCAGTATTTGAGAATGAGGTACAAGACTTATATTGCAGCACTTGAATCACTCTGGGGACTTTACCAGAAGTTCTACTAGAAGAAAACAGCATTTTGGCTTGTTCCTTACTGCATTTAGGGTTCATTCCATGATATCTCTACAAATACGACCTTTTTTTTCTAAAAAATTAATGAATGATAATTTTCCAAATGTTTAAATTTTATATATTGTAGGTCCCTAAACTTTTACATCTAAGTCGTCTTGCTGTGCGGAAGTGTTTTCGGACATCAAAGCTCTTACATGGTCGATTTTTGGAGTATCTCCCTATTCCGAAGTCTCTGAGAGACTACATGACTTTTCAACCTATTCCGGAAGAATTACTTCCAAGTTAGCTTATTTCGGAGCTGTCTGATTGTTGTTCTGAGGAAATTGTCAACTTTATTTTTTTCTTTTTACTTTACAGTTTTGTGTTTGATTAACTTGTTTGGAATTTAAGGATCTGCAAGACTTCCCAAAATTTTCATTAGCTATAATGAGATTGATTTGAAATATTTATATTCACTATTAAATGCCATCATACATTGTTGTACTGCTAAATTAATTGGATGTATCATATGGTCTGAAAACCGTAAATTACATCTTGCAAATCTGAAGGCAACGGTCTTATGAATCTATAAACGGGGTAGCATTGAGATTCGTAAGAACTCAGATGACTTTGATTTCTAAACTAATAATACTCTTAGTACTGGAGATTTTGCTGTAATCACACTGCATTCTCTTGAATTTTATAACATATTTTGTTGCTATTTTAAATTCTGTTGCCCATTTACCTTGTTATGTTATCAAAAAAAGTTGTATTATATATATCTGTTGTACCTTTGTGTCTCCAGTACGTCTAACTCTGATGTTAGATATGTATGTATATATAGATCTATATTTTTTTGTTTTTTGCATTTTGTTATGCATAAATGAATTACATAAAGCATCATATCGGAGTTTTAAAAAGCATGAAGAAAGCAAAAGCATGAAATTGGATTGCTAAATTTCGAAAATCGTTCTGGATTTAATTATCCTGTTATGTTCAATTTTTCATCTATTTGGTCAGAGAACGAATGATATGAAGTGCTGCCGAAGATTCTACGAAGAAAATAAAAACAACCCTGAGGAGATGATAAAGGCAAAAGTTATTGTGAGTTAAAATAACGAATCGATTATATAATTCAATTACGACTTGGTGGAAGTGGAAATTTATGAATTCAGCTGACAAAAAACTCTTCCGCACTGATACCAAACTGTTTATTTCTAAGATTAAAGGGCAAAAGTTAGAAATCATCGTTGAAATTTTAAACAATTCTTAGTGCAATAAATTTCGAAGTTATTTTGAGTTAAAATAACGAATCGATCATATAATTCAGTTACGACCTGGTGAAAATGAAAATTTATGAATTCAACTGACAAAAACTCTTCTGTACTGATATCAAACTGTTTGTTTCTAAGATTAAAGGGCAAACATTAGAAATCATCGTTGAAATTTCAGATTATTTTTATTGCAATAAATTTCCGCCGTCCATTGATTTATTGCAATTGGAAACAACTATGTCCAAGTAGGAAGCTCGTACTGTATCTGATGGAGAAGTTCTCGAGGTGGAGAGCTATTTTCGACATTTTTAAAAATTTTTTCCAATGATATCATCATAGTAGCCATATTTTATATATGCAAATATTAAGTATTTATATAGTGATAGAAGAATTAAATTCGTTAAAAAAGTTCTTGAAAATATTTCAGATTTCGTATATTCTATTCTCATTTATAGTATATTTATAATTTCAATTAAATTCTGTTATAATTTTTGTTTGAAAATTTTCACAATGAATCATCCCTTTGTAAACTTATTATATTGTTAGGGTGTAGTTGGAAGATGTAGCATTTTCATCATATTTGTCGAATATGTTTGGCAAATGATCAAAAAGAATGTTCTTATAATGATTATTGATAAACAAAAACAATAATTGCAAGAAATAACAAAAATTAAATTCACGACATTGTGATAATTGATTGTTTTCGATTGATAATAATCTGTTGCTAATTTCACTTATCATCGAATGTAAACAATAGTGATGAATGATTGATTATTTAGAATATTTGAGTAGAAATATATTACAAGTTGATATTTACGATGGAAATTGATTTACTGTATATGCTTCATTGAATTGTCGATTTGTTTCAATATCATTCTATAAAAATTCCACTAAAATATCATTCGTTTTTTTTTTCACTCTCATAAATTCATTATCAATTCATGTTATTTTTTGTTTGTCGAAATTTCATATTAACCAAGCAAAAATTATCATTGATAAATGATAATAGTATTTTGATGAATTTCTCAAAAATAAATTACTAATAATTTATAATTTAAATCGCATAAAATCATTGGAAATAAAAAAAAAAGCAAAAGATAATTAATTAACAAACGAATTTGATAATTGATAATTTGGTAATTGATAATTTGATAATTGATAATTTGGTAATTGATAATTTGATAATTGATAATTTCAAATTTTAAATTAATTCAGATAGCATTTTGAATTACGATCGATTCATATAAATTATTATTAGAAGAGGATGATGTAATTAAAATTAAAGATAATTTAAAAACAGACTTCAGCTTCTTCCAGTATTGTTGGCATACGTTGAAATGAATTCAATTGAGCTGAAGCTGTACCGCAACCATGTTGACCTGGACTGCATTCCAAAGTTATTAATGTACCATTTGGTAGTGTTATTTTTCTTTCCTTTGATTTTGTTCCATTTTTTCGACCTATTTAAATGTAGCAAATTAAAAGTAATTTTAATTAGAACGATTTTAAATTAAAAATTAAATTTAATTTTTCAATCATTTTCTTTTTCATCTTTTGTTTTTTTTCAAATTAAAATAATGATAATAATGACTAAGGAATATAACAAAGAGAAAGTTATCATACTAATTATCGTGGCCTTAATTAGAAGGATTAGAATTAGTGTTTAATTTAACCTGGCCTAGATATCTTGCATTAAAGAGCAATAGATGTTAATTAACAGCTGATAATGATAGGAAATAATAAATAAACGCTAAAATACTTTGAACTAATCGATTAGTTGAATCATATAAACAAGATCTTTTTCTAAGAAAAAAACCGATCATCTGTGAAATCGAAAATGATACATAATAATAATAATAGTGTTGATAATAATGATAGCAGCGTTAATGATAATGATAATAGTGTTGATAATAATGAAGTGAAAAAAGAGAAAATGAGGTGGTTTTCCTCACTAACATATTTAAAATTTTCCTCATTAATGGATGAGCAATGAATTTCTCTTTCTCCATATGTTAAGCAATTACTTGGCTTTTATTATATCGCCGATGGTTTTCTGGTAAGTTTATCATCATCAGCTTAACTATTCTCTACGACATATTCAAGATCATTCGACAAGTATTATCCAACACCCGTTAAAAGACTGAACCTTTCGAGGTACCCAATCAAAAGGAACGTAATCATTAGTCACCGAAAGATACAAGTTGACCTAATAGCCTCTATGAAAGATTTTCGTCCAAAAAGCCGTAAATTCCCCTGATAATCATAAAGCCGTAAATTCTCCTGATAATCTCTTTTACTCTTTAAAATTCCGAGCTATGTTCCGGTAGAAAATATTTGATAAACTATGAAAAAGATATTTTACATATAATACTGATAACAATAATAATAATAATAACAATAACGATAATAATAGTAATAATTATTCTCATCTTTTCTTATCAACATTTTTTCTTCATTATACTAACAAATTTCTTCTCTTTCACTTTATTTATTTGTTAAGGAAAATTTCACTCTAATTCTTTAAATTCAAAATCATAGTCTGAATCTAACATTAGTTCATAACAATTATATATGCTGGCAACATCTAAAAAAGGGCTAATTCGAAAGAAATTTAATTCCAATTTTCCATATTTTTCAAATATCACTAAAAAATGCAATTTATGATGATGATAATAGCAATGAATGCAAATACTGATGGTAATGAATAAAGTAAATTTTAAACATAATATTATCACAAACTAATCAAATAAGACGAAATAGAAATTTTAATGAATAATTATTAAATAAGTTAAATGAAATAAATTAATAGTTAATTTACATAAATGTTTATAATTCATTAAGGAAAACTAATTAACTAACTTTTATTCCTGAGAATTGCTAGAAGTTGTGAAAATAATTTCTTCTTCATGCAATACCGATAGATGATGACTATGAAAGCGATAAGCACTGCGATAAGTGTTATCAGAAGTATCGAAAGAACAACAATCGCAGCTTCACTTTGATCTTTAATGAATAGTGATAAATGCTAATGGAATGATGTAACTAATCATTTGAAAATAAAGAATATTGTTTATTCATTTATTTATTAAGAATGATTTTATTTTATTAGTATTATTATTGTTACTATTATTATCATTAATTTTTTAGCATTTAATTTACGATAGCTATTTATCTTTTATATCGCATAAAATAAATTCACTTATTTATTTTTCCTTTAATTGATAATACTATCTTTTGAAATGGTGAAAGCTTTAAAAACAAAACATTTAAAATTATTAATATAATTTGTTTTAACATTCTTTCGATTTCACAACACTACAACCAATCGATAATACCATCTGCTTATAATATACCCTTTATTTTGTAGTAAATTTTCGACAGTAATACTTTATGATAAGTAATAAACAGAAAACATTTCCTATGCAATTAACATAACATGGTATTTCATTCCATATCATCAAATTAGTTGTAATTACCTAATATTACCCAATAAATTTAATTCAAATAACCTAATTACCTAATAATCAAAAAATTCAATTCAAATAACCTAATTACCTAATAATTAGGTAATTAAGTTATTTGAATTGAATTTTTATTTTTTTTATTAATCTAATTACTTAATAATTAGGTAATTAAGTTATTTGAATTGAATTTTTTTTAAATAAAGATATCAAATTTTTAAAATAAATTTATAAAATTTAATTATATATTGATAATATTTCTCTTTGAGCATTCATTCCTAAATCATTTCAAATCATTTGAATGATTAAAATGTTAGCAATTTGCATAAGTTTACAGATGATTAAAAAAAATGATAAAAGATGATAATATCATGGAAAATTCTTCCGCTTTTCATGCATTTCAATTAAAGAAGCAAAATAATTTATTGAGAATTTTTACTTACTGATGCAAAAATATTACATTAATTATTACTTTTAGTATTAATATACTCAATATTATTATACTAATATACTTAATATTTAATACTAATATGCTCAGTATTATTATACTAATATACTTAATATGATAATACAATATCAATTAATTAAAATTTTGTTAATTAAAATTTTGCAATTTAATATAATTCAAAAAAAAAAATCTTACGGTAATAAATGTGTAATTTTTTTTCTCCTCTTAATTAAGCGTATTTATTAATTTTATTAAATTTTAAAAATTTGCAAACGGAAAAAAACCATTACCTAAAAATGAATAATACTAGAAATTTCTATCAAATAAGGATATATAAAATTAATTAAATTATTAGTGTATAAAATTTTTCACATACACACGCATACACATACAAACGTATATTACACACGTATACATACACATACACACACACACATATACACACATGAATACACACGTATACACACATACACACACACGTACACACAGATATATACTCATATACACACATTCATTAATCAATTTCATGAACATAATTTTTTACTTTTATACTCAATAACTTAATTACTCGAGTGAAATAACAATAGCTCATGCATACACGTATACACATATACACACATACCAATTAATCAATTTCATGAACATAATTTTTTACTCTTATACTTAATAAATTAATTATTTGAGTGAAACAATAATAGCTCATAGAAGAATTCACACACACACACACACACACACACACACACACACACACACACACACACACACACCATTAATCATAATTTTTTACTCTAATACTTAATAATTTAATTATTCGAGTGTGATAATAATAACTCATAGAATTTGTTCATTTTTTATTTTAATGCATAATATGACTTATACAAACAAATTTACATATTTATACCTAAAATTTTCGTTAATTATTGAAGAAATGAAAATTTATTGCAATGAAAGAAATTGTTTTTCACTTAAAAATTGAAAAAAATTTCATGAAAAATAAAAAAATTATTAAAATTTATTCGATTATAATTATTTTTTGTAAAGCAAATTTTAGCATAAAAAAGAAATTGTTGAAATTTCATTTTCCATTTTACTTTTTTACTTTTATTTTAAATTAAACAAGCAAACAAACAAACAAACAAACAAAAAGAAAATAAACAAATAATTAAATAAACAAAAAAAGAAAGAAAGAAGAAAATAAACAAGAATAAACAATTAATTAAACAAAACAAATAAACAAAAATAAAATGAACAAAATAAACAAATAATTAAATAAACAAAAAAAAGAAGGAAAAAAGAAAACAAACAAATAATTAAACAAGCAAACAAGCAAAAAACAAAATAAACAAAATAAGCAATTAATTAAACAAAACAAATAAACAAAAAGAAAATGAACAAAATAAACAAATAATTAAATAAACAAAAAAAAGAAAGAAAAAAGAAAACAAACAAATAATTAAACAAACATACAAACAAAAAAAAGAAAATAAACAAAATAAACAAGCAAATAAACAAAAAGAAAATAAAACAAAATAATCGAGTATTATTTGTTTTATTTAATTTAAATCCATTTGTTTTCTCGAAAAACTCTTTGATTCGTTCTTTTCTCTCTCTCTCTCTCTCTCTTAAAAAAAGAAACACATAGAAATATCTGAAAATCTTTTTGCTAATAAATAAACTACTTTTCTCTCTCTCTCTCTCTCTCTCTCTCTCTCTCTCTCTCTTAAAAAAAGAAACACATAGAAATATCTGAAAATCTTTTTGCTAATAAATAAACTATAAGCGAAAACAAAAAAAAAAAAAGAGGAAAAATAAGTAAAATTTAATTTAAAAACAAAAGAAAAAATGCGATTGAAATTTGCTTTTTTAAAAATGAAAATAATTTTCTTTGTAGTTCGTTCATATTGGAAATCAAAAACAAATTTTTTCAGATATTTAATTATTAGCAATAGGAAATAATAATTATCAGTGATATGTAAAAGATGCAAAAAAAAAAAGGAAATGTCGAAGAAATGAAAAGCGTTGAAAAAGAGGAAAAATTTAATGAAAAATGAAAAATAGCTCAGTGAAGCATTTTATTTGCTAAAGAAAACCTTTTTCATCAAATCATTTAATTAATTTGAAATTTTACAAAAAATAAAAAAACTATTCATATCTATCTCGTTTCACTTCAAATCATCATTTGAGCAAATCCTATAATTAAGATATTTCGAAAAATCTGAAATGGATATTTCTGTGGTAATTTTATCGGATCGAAATAACCATTTGAATAATAAACAAAAAAAACTATATGCTGAATATCTCTTTTTCTTACATGTTCTTTTGCTTTTCTTGCCTGTTAGTAATGAAATTACAATTTCCGGATATTCATGTTTATACTTGTGATAGTTAGTATTGAAATAACATGATTCTGGATATCTGTTTTCATAAATAAAAAATTCCGATTATCCATGTTTATACTTATGATAGTTAGTGTTGAAATAACATAATTCCGGATATCTATTTTCATAAATAACAAGTTCCGGATATCCATTGCTTATACTTATGGTAGTTAGTACTGAAATCATAATTCCGGATATCTATTTTTAGAAATAACAAATTCCGGATATCCGTGTTTATATTTTATGGTAGTTAGTACTGAAATAACATAATTCCGGATATTTATTTTCATACTTTGGTTAGTTAGCATTCGTATAACATAATTTCAGGTATCTCTTTCTCTAGTTTTGCTAGTGAAGATTATAGAATAACAAATATTTCTTACTTCTAAGCAACGATTAGTGTGCAATAACAAATATTTCTTATTTTCAAGCAACGATAAAATTAATGACGTCAGCAATTAAGCCATTTAATTAAATTTAATTATTTCAATGATATGACTATGTCTATATCTATTTATATATGAATGCAATATCATATTTCTCACTAGACACTTTATTTTTTTCAACATGTATATGTATCAGATGATGATATCATTCTGATGTTTGCAACACATAAATCACTTAATTCAATTTTAAGTAATTAGGTTAAAAATAATTAAGGATAAAAAATTAGGAAAAAATTAAGTCAGTAATTAAGTCATTTTTATCTTCTTAATTCAATTTCTTCCCTTACAAGCAAAAATAATTTTCAAATTTGATTTTTAAACTAAGATTTTTTTGTTTTCAAATAAATTTTATTATATATATGATTATACATTAATCATTAATGAAAATATTGATTTTATTTAATTTTTTTTGATTGCTATTTAACTACGAGTTGTTGATCAATCAATAATCCATCAAAAATGCATTAGATAATTTTTGATTAATTTGTTGTTGTATAAAAAAAAATTGAAATAATTAGTTAATCAGCAAATGTCGCTCATTAAGTTGCAATTAAAGAAGTTAAATCAAATTTCGTAAAAAAATATTCTTTAATTAAATTTTAAAAATTATCAAAAAGATATGATAAGAGAATAAATGAGCGATATTGAATTGAATTTATCAATTATATTATCATTAAATTAAAATAAATAATATTTGTATAAAATTAATAATATTCTGTAATTACTTAAAAATATCAAAAAGATATGATAAGAGAATAAATGATAAATGAGCGATATTGAATTGAATTTATCAATTATATTATCATTAAATTAAAATAAATAATATTTGTATAAAATTAATAATATTTTGTAAATACTTAAAAATATATGATTGGAGTGTAAATGATAGATTAGCGATATTGAATTGAATTTATTAATTACATTATCATCAAATTAAAATAAATAATATTTGCATACTGATGAATAACTGAGGAAAAAACAATTGTTCCATCTGAAAATTTTCTTTCTTTTAATTTGCAAAAAATTTTGGGATATAAAATTTTCAAATTTAAACTTTCATTGCAAACTCTTTTTATTTGAATTTTCACATTTCAAAATAATAATAAGCAAATTATTTTGCTTTTAATTATAGCATTAGCAAAATTAAAAAAAAAAAGGGAATAAATTAATGATGA